ATCACTGCTACAGGTCAGAGTGACTGAACTGCCCTCCACTATCTCAGCAGAGGGACTCACTGACACAGAGGGAAGCTTTGGAGCATCTGGAGGAGGAAACATAAGAATAACAACATGGTCATAAAAAAACAAATGTAAAAAATTCTAAAAAGAAAACATTGTAAACCCCCTAAAGAAAGGATTTTGACTAAAGTAGCACACAAACACATTCCCGTAAATAAAGAAAAATTAAATATAATTCCTTTAATGAAACAAAAAGTAGTGAACTCACACACTGTTGGAGAAGGGAATGTCTCATATCCTTTCACAGCACAGTAAAGACTGTCTACAGAATCAAATGTGTTCAGCTGTAAATATTGTTCGTCTGATGAAAGTTTGTGTCCATTCCTGTACCAGATGTAGGAAGATTGATCAGGTAGCTGACAGTTGTTGTGACATGTCAGCTCTGTCCAGTTAGAATAAGAGTTTACTGTTGATCTCCTCACATGTACCTGGAGCTGTGGATCTGGGAGTAAAAAAAAACAATGACATTATATCAGAAATACCTCAACATCTGCACAAATACACATGGAAATGTTTAAAGTGAATTCCAGTTAAATATTTTTTACCTGTAACAGTCAAAGTGACTCCAGGTGATCCAGTATATTTCCCTTCTGGATTGTTTGTTATGAGCATGAACTTGTACTCAGCTGAGTCGCTCTCTCTCAGGTCTGTGATTCTCAGAGTGCAGTCGTTGTTTTTACACTGATACTGAACACGGTTTCTGTACTTTGACTCTGTTTTCAGATCATTATCTTTGACTGTAGTAAACCAGAACATTTTCTGGATTCTAGTCTTTATGTCATTTATAGTCGATAGGTATCTGAATGTGGAGTGTATTTCTACTGTTGATCCTTTGAAGGCGCAGACCTGAGTAGAAGTGTAAGTCACCACTGTAACACAGAGCCCATTATAGAAAAATCAGAAAACAGACTAATTTATATTCACTTTCATAGATCTGAATTCTATCTCTAAGATTCCATTTAGACATGTTTCATAGAGAACGAGACAGAATACAGCATAATACTGTTCTTTAACGTGAGACTGGAACCCGTCAAGAATTTCAAATATGTTTGCAAAAGGTTTAAACTGAAAAAGACCCAATTACTTTTTTTTTAAATTGACATTTAGGAATCACTGTACAATACCATCAACTTCAACAATTTGTCACTACATGTATTTTTCTTTTTTCTGTATTTAAGCAACTAAAATATCCATACAAAAGGAATGAAAGAAGAAAAAAAAGAAAAAAAGGAAAGAAAAATAGAAAAGGCATGTAGGGAGTGTGTTTTTGTTTCCATTAATATAACTAATATTTCCTCTAGTCTTCTAGTAGTTAACACCGTCAAAATCAAAAAATGGCCTGCGTTTTTTAATATAGTCCATCCATTTCTTCCATCGTGATACAAACAGGTCCCTCTTGTAGTTCACATCTACGCTCATTTTTTCCATCCTGTAAATGTCCATTGTGATGTTTATCCACATGTTCATAGTTGGGCCCTCAGAAGAATTTTTTGTGATGGCTTTTTTTGCCATCACAAAATTTTTTCACACCAGCATATCAAAATATTACACCAGCATATCATAGGCCTTAATTTTTCTGCCCAATAATAATCCCTAAGAGAAGGTAAGCCCCACCCCCTTTTCCTTTGTTAAGTTGTAAGGTTTCAAATCTAATTCGGGGCCTTTTTCCTTGCCATATGTATCTTGACAAAATTTTATCCCATTCATTAAATTGTTTCTGGTTAATTTCTATTGGTAATGTTTGAAATAGATATAATAATTTAATTTTAATTGAGTCTATTCTCGAATATAAATTGCTATATCTTCCTTAATTTTCTTTTGTATTAAGTAATTTCGTTTTAATAGTTCTGTAAGATCCTTAGGTATTATGACTACCAGATATTTAAAGTACTCTGTTTGCCATGCTAATTGGTACTTATTTTTAATTTCTTCTGATGGAATATAGTTGTACTTAAGCAATTGTGTTTTACTCATATTAACTTTATATCCTGATAGTCGACCAAAGTATTCAAATAATTGCATTAAGAGAGTTTGATGGTTGACCCAAAAATATTAAAACATCATCTGCATAGCAGGCTAATTTATGCTCCTTCTCATGGATATTAATACCTTCTACTTCTTTGTTTTGCCTTATATAGTGAGCCAATGGTTCCAGGTATAATGCGAATAATAATGGTGAGCACCCACAGCCCTGCCTTGTTCCTCTTTGCAGCTTAATACTATTTGATAGGTAGCCATTAATTTTAATCCTTGCCGTAGGGTTATCATAAAGTGCCTTTATTGTCTTAATTATTATTTCATGCAAGCCAAATCTACGCAAGACTCCATAAAGAAAGTTCCAATTAACTGAATCGAATGCTGAATCGATACTGATTACCATTGCTTCTACTTTATTCTTTTGAATATGGTTAATAATTTGTAGTGTCCACCGTACATTATCTTGTATTTGACGCTCTCGAATAAAACCTGTTTTATCATTATGAATTAGACTAGGTAAGAACTTTTGTAATTGTCTAGCCATGATAGATGTAAACAGCTTATAATCTGTATTGAGAATAGATATTGGTCTATATGACACACATTCTAATTTATCTTGTTTTCTTTTGGGATAGCAGAGATAATTGCTTCTTTCCAGCTAGAAGGTACTTGAGCCTTCTCTAGGACCCAATTCATTGTGAGAAGCATCACTGGTATTAATTCTTCTTTTAGCTCCTTATTGCTATTCTTAGTTCCTTTTCTGTTATATCTTCAATCGAAGTTTTATTCTGTTCTGCATTCAGTACTGGTAAATTGAGAGAGTCTGAAAAACTGTTCATTTCAACTATACTACTCTCTGTCTTATTAGCATAAAGAGTCTTATAAAATGTTTCAAATGCACTCTGAACTTCTACTAGTTAATTTTTTTAAATTAATTTTGTCACTGGATGTTTAATTTTGTGAACTGTATTATCTGCTATTTTCTTTTTTAGTTTCAAGGCTAAAACATTCATTGCTTTAGATCCTCCCTCGTAATACCTTTGTTTAAGAAACATAAATTTTTTTTAAATTTCATATGTAGTCAAATCATTTATTTCATTTCTTGTTTTGATGATTTCCTCCAATATATCCTGTGTTGTTTTTCTTTTATGCCTTTTCTCTAATTCTTCTAACTTATTTTGTAGCTCTTCTAATTTTTTATCTCTCATCTTTTTTTTTATAAGCGGATATTGCTATAATTTTCCCTCTCAGGACAGCTTTTAAAGTATCCCACAGAATAGGAGGAGACACCTCACCATTATCATTAGTTTCCATATAGAGGTGAATCTCTTTCTTAATTTGTTCTTTGAAGTGTGGTAAGCTTGAATTTAATTTCCAATTATTGAGTTTTGGTTGCAGGTTTAAATCAAGGTATAAAAATCAGGTATTAAATCAGGTATACTGGTGCATGGTCGCTTAAGTCTGTTGCTCCAATTTCACAAGTGTTTATTCTATCTTTATTTTCCCCAAAGGTAATAAAATAATTTATTCTTGTGTATAACGAGTGCGGTGAGGAAAAATAGGTATAATGCAAGTTTCTCCATATATCAATTAGTCCCACCTCCTTCATCAGTGTATTTATATTCTTAATTAATGTTTTGGTATTCTGTGCTTTTCTATTGGAAATATCTAGCTTTGGTTGTAGATGTATATTTAAATCTCCTCCGCAAATTAGAAAACCTACTGTCTCTGTTACGATCATGTCTATAATTTTCTTAAAGAAATAAATATCGCTTCCAGGTGGGGCATATATATTTAACAATGTAACTGAAAAAGACCCAATTACAATGATTATTGTGTCCAATAATGTCCCAAATGTCTGTGAATAAGTGAGAGAATCATAATTAAAAAATTATAATAAAAATTTACAGGTGCAGGGAAAGCATTGCACCTCTGTCCTCTCCTGGCCACCTGACCATCTACCAGTATATCAAAAGCCAGGATGGTCCACTTGGGAAAATAAATCTGTTGGGCATTTTTCCTGGTCTTCAGACAATAATTCTGATTGCTACAGTGCTGGAAAGGACGGGCAGAAAAAGGACAAAACAGAGAGAATTGTAGAAAGACTGGCATCTTTACTATGAATTTTAATCTAATCCCTAATTTGCAACATTTTAACAACAAGATATGAACATATCAAGAATTGTTATTATTATGAAAAGAAACTTACCATCTACAACCAAAATTATTTCAGTGTCATATGAATCAGGAGATAAAGGGTCCCCGTAACCACACCTGTACTGTCCCGTGTCAGACTTGGTCAGATGTCTGATGGTTGCTAGAAGTCCAAACGCAGATCCTTTTGTGTATTCAATGCTGTACCTGCCATTCTGAACTTTGTCATTAGTTGTGTCAATGAAGATATTTCCTTCTTTCTCACACGGATTCTTACAAAGGAACTTCCTCTGTCCCTGGACAGTAGTGGCACATGGAAATAAGATTTCTTCTCCCTCACTCTGTGCACGGGAGACTCTAGAGTTTTTAGCAATTTCTGTTAAATAGATGAACATCCATGAATTATATAATAAATAAATAAAGTGACTGAGTTTAAATAGGACTGTATTTAGCCTGAGAGCTTATGGAGGTATGAGAGTAGGTGATTGGTTTCTCAATTTTGACTTTAGTAACTTTTAGTAGAAACTCACCATTTGAAACTCTGACCTCAAAGTCTGAGTATGAATCTGGAGCTGAAGATTTACCCAAACCATACCGGTACATTCCTGAGTCAGACTTTCTCATATTTGTGATGGTAAAAGTCAGCCTTCCTCTTCCTGAAGCTGCATCTTTGTATTTAATGCTGAATCTGCCGCTCTGAGCTGTGGTTTCATCTGTTTTAATGAGGATGTTTTCTGGTCGCTCACATTTTTCCTTGCAGAAGAACTTTGTGTTTCCAGACACAGTGAAAAAATTATAAACTGAAAGATCCTCTCCTTCTTGTACAACCCAAATGCTGACAGACCCACCTGTTGGACAAGATTTTCACCGTGAATAGCCAGCTCGTTCTCAAAGCAAAACATAAGAAAGACAAAATATGATCTATTAGTTGTGAATTTCCATCAGTACAACTTGTATAATAAAAATATTTAGGGGGAAACTGATGGGAATATTGAGGTTACATAGAAAGGAAGCTTAAATGTCATGAAGTGCTGTGTGTGGCTGGCAGGTAAGTCAGGACTCAAATGTAAGATTATCAGGCTGGACTGAACAACAGCTTCATTGCTGGAAAATAAAAATAACTTAATCCAACTTAACTGGCAGATACTCATGGATACAAACACTGCAGGCGGAGTGAGAGAGCCAATATACAGGAGAGAATCAGGACAGAGAGTCTTACATTTGGGTCCTAACCTACCTGCCTGCCACATCTGGGGAACACAGCTGAATAAAATCTAACTGACGAGACTTTGGAAGCAAAATTGAACACAATGTACACGGGACAAGAGACTGTCAAAATAAATTAGGAAGTATGAGAAACACAATGAGAGTCTGACTAAAAACAGAGAGAGAGAGAGAGAGAAAGAGAGACAGAGGGAAATATGACTGAGGAAACTAAGAAACATGGAGAAAAGACTGACTTCACAAATAACTAACACAGGAAACTAGAAAGAGGACGGGGAACACAGGGGGAGGAATGAAAACAGAAACCTCAAAACTTGACAATAAAAATAAGAATACCAATATTAAACAGAGAGATCACAACTATAATAACTAGAAAGAAAATAGAGAGAAAGTAAGGGAAA